TGCACAGGCACAGGCGGGCGGTGGAAGAGCTGCCCTGTGCTGGTGGAGAGACTGCCCTGATATAGGCAGTTTCTCCTTGGGAGGGGCTCTCTCCCTGTGAGCCTGGGTGGATCTTGAGAGGACCCGAGATTTCCTGATGAGCTTAGTCTGCATGTCCTTATCTTTCATCTTTTGGGTCTGAGCTTCAATCACCGCCCCAACAGTCTATTACCTGCTGGGACCCCTTGGAGACATCCAGGCATCCTGGTCATCGTGGATATTGGGCTCTGGTGCCCGAGGACCTTGACTTTATGGCTGTGTCAGTTGCTGCACTAGCCCCTTCTATCTGTCCACTTTGTGTGATTCAGTCTTGTGATGCCTCCCCTGCGTTCCTTCCTCCATCATCTTCTTTCCAGAATTTACACATATTTTACCTGTAGTTTTATTTGATTGGCCAGGCAATCAAATAATTGGTTAATAGTGGTTAGAGAGGGCAACCTTATCTTGTTCTCTTTCACAAGAAAGTTTCTTTTCTTGGTTAGCGTAATGCTTATTATTGAATCACTGAGGTAACATATAAAAATCACATTAAGAAAGTTGCCTCCTGGGCATTTCCTGGTGGCACAACAGGTTAAGTCACAGCTCTGTGAATCTATCTGCAGCCACTGCAGCATGACCAGGTCAGGGAGCTGACCTACATGGCACAGCAGAATCTCCTGTCTTACCTGCTGCTCCCCTCAGCAGTGTATTTTAGTAGATTCACCTCTTCTGCTCCCCACTCTGTCTCTGGTGAATCCTTTCATCCCCTGCATCTCTGGCCTGTGCTCCTGTTTGTTTTGTACATAAATAAATGCATCTTAAACAAACAAACAAGAAAGTTCCTTCCCAATTCTAATTTACTGTGAATTTTGTTGCTGTTATTTTATTTATTTATTTATTTATTTTTAAAGATTTATTTATTTGTGCATATAGAACTGGGGTACAGGCCAGAGGCTCACGGGTGGCGAGAGGCTTCACCAGATACAGAGTGGGCAGCAGAACAGGCAGATCGACAAGTGAAGTACACTGCTGAGGGGAGCAGCGTGCGGGTCAGAAGAGGTCTGCCGCCCCGTGTGGATCACCTCCAGTGCTGGGGATCCAACTCATGCTGAAGTGGCTTTGGCTTCTTAGTGCTGTGCTTTAACCTGCCATGCCACCAGGGTGGCCCTCCCCTTTGGACTCTTAGGGGTTCCTTTCACCTTTTGGTATGATGAATTTTAACAATAGGTTTGTTTATGTTAATTCCCAGAAGGAAAATCCTTATTTGGTGAATATATGATTTTATATTAATTCATAGCTAGATTCCATTTAATAGTTATTTAAGCTATAATCTATATTTACAAATGTGATACTTTTTTTGGTGAAAATGTGATTTTTTTATGCATACAGAACTGGGGTACAGGCCAGAGGTGAGGGGTGGTTAGAGGATTCACCAGTGACCGAATAGGGAGCAGAACAGGCAGATTGATGAAGTATACTGCTGAGGAGAACAGTGGGCAAGACAGGGTCTGCTGTGCCATGTGGGTCACCTCCCTGGCGGGGGATCCAACTTGTGTTGGAGAGGCTGAGGCTAGCAGCTAGCTTCGTAGTGCTGAGCTTTTAACCTGTTGTGCCACCAGGGAGGGTCCAAAATATGTGTGATTTCTTTGCCAAATTTTCTTATCCAGTCATAGTGATATCAAAAAATTTTAAGTTTTCCTACTTTGAACATGATAATATATACAGAAATTGGCTAGCATTATGCTGGGCTCAGGTTAAGATCTCAGGTAGGTGAGACAGGATAGTTACGCGGTACCATGTGGGTCAGCTACCTGGCT